CTTTACCTCAGATATATGAAGGAAACAATAGGGAAATAGTGGTCTTACCCACTTTCCTATAGCCCTTGTACCTTTTTACCCTAATTAACAATGTAAAGATTGCCAAAAATATAATTTTAAAAAAGTGTTTAAAATAATTTATTTTAAAAGGGAAAAATATGTTTGAAAAAATAAAAGTAAAATTGTAGTATAAAATTGGGTCATCTCAGCCTGGGCCCACAATGCCTGGAAGCATAACTTCGGAGACTCCGTTGCTGGCTGCTGCTTCAACTGCTGAGTAAGCGAGCTAGGATTGGGATTGGGTCAGTCAGGGTGTGATACTGGCTGGGCTGGCTACCACACTCACTGGCAAACACAAGAGCCTGAATGGTTGCAACCCAGCTGAACTAGGCCACAGTCCAGTTGACAAGTGCCAGAATTAGATGTAAGCCCTCTCAGGCAAGGTTACATCAGCCATTGGCAGGTTCAAAGTCTGGTGGTAGGAACATGCCTGACAAGGGGGATGTGGGCATTTCCCTGCCAGGTTGTTTCTATTGCTGGGCCACAGCACCCATCAGTTCATGTGTTAACTGGGTCTAGGCAACAGTAGGTTTGTTGCCTGGTGTAGGTAATGGACTGAATCTGACCTTGCCATGGCAAGTGCACATAAGAGTCAAGTGTGAGGTCACCCCAGGTGAATTTTTTATGAACTCTACAAATGGATCATTGGACTCTAACCCTAGAGTACATATGTTGGGAATGTATCACCTCTGTTGCTGATGCCTGAGTAGTGAACCTTATGGATACATGACAATCAGCTCATCTGGGTCAGCAGGGAATATTGAGCATGTCATCAAAGGATGGCTCATTCAAGTGGCAGTGTCCTGGGGCCTATTCCAGATTGCCTGTCCCCAGACTAGCCTATCTGCATGCTGACAGGTGCTGTAGTATTGCCCAATCTGGTCCTCATATAACGCTGTGTCTCAGATTCACTACTGGGAGCTACAACCCAGCAAGGCAGTGTAAAGATTTCCCCTACTAGGCATGTCCTAAGGCACAGGACTTGTTCGTTTTGTCAGGAGTTCAACCCAACCCAACCCTACCTGGCATACCCATAATCTCAGCTCTTGCTATCAGATATTGTAGTCCTTCCCAGCTGGGCACAGCCCACATTCTGTCCAGGCTCTCCTATATGTCATGTTGTGCTCATGTCTGGCCCTGCCTGGCCTGCCCAGGCCTGGCCCATACAAATGTTGATGTATGCTGCAGACTTGCCTGGGCTGACCTGTCTCCAACTGCAGCTTCTGTGCTCATCACGGGGAACTACAGACTTGTAGGGTGTTTCCCAAGTTCTGCCATAAGGCTTGTTCACAGACCCAGTTCTCACACATGCAAGCATAGCAGTGACCATGCTTGGCATGATCTGCCTTCAGCCCAGGACCTGACATGTGCTGGCCCCGCTTGTTCATTTTACAATCCCAGCTCTCATGAGTGTCAGGTGGATTCATTTTTTCATTTTTTTTAAGATTTATTTTATTTTTATTGGAAAGTCAGATATACAGAAAGGAGACAGAGAGGAATAGTGAGATAGTTAACACAGATTTGGCATTAATCTGCCCAGAATGCCCACAAGCTACTAGCTGCTTTTCTCGAAGCATGTAATAGTTGCCTAGGGGCCAGCAGCCTTTGCAGTTATGATCCATGTCTGACCCATTTCCCTTGTAATGTCCTTGAGAATGTGGTGGAAAATGGCCTACATGTCTGGTCCTCTGCCATCCATGTGTTTTGACCTTGTTTAGTTTTAGCTGTTATCACTACTTAGGGAACACGAGATCTCTCTATCTATCTTTTTCTAATACTTTCTCACTCTTACAATTAAAAAAATAAATAAATGTTAGTATAGGTAAGTTAATATAGGCCAAAAAATATTTTTAAAGTCCATGTGTAGTTATGTCTTTGATTTTAGGTATATACATTTTCTTCAAAGTTTGGCACTGTATATTTTAAATCTGTTTACAAATTTTTGATAAAGGTAGTTGAATTAAAATATATATAACTAACACCAGGATGTGTGAAAAGACCTCTGAAATGTCTATAGGAATCAAGAAAGAAAGAAAGAAAGAAAGAAAGAAAGAAAGAAAGAAAGAAAGAAAGAAAGAAAGAAAGAAAGAAAGAAAGAAAGAAAGAAAGGAAGATGAGACATAATGGGGTTTAGTTGACAATGTAAAGAGAAAAAGAAGCACTGTTAAGAAATGTTTTACTTTCTTTGTGTCATATTTCTAAAGATCATTATTGAAAAGGCAAAGAGACAGAGAGAATGAGAGGGAGGGAATTAGGGATGGAGAGATCTTCCCTAAGCTGGGTCACTCCCAATGGATCATGAAAGCCAGGTCTGGGATTCCATGAAGCCAGGAACTTCATTCCAGCGTCCCATCTGGGTAACAGGAATCTACACCCATCTGCAGCCATTCCAGATGCATTCTCCAGAAATGGATAAGTGGAGCACCTGATGAGACTCAGAAAGTTGCTTCCATGTGGGCCATGGCATTTCACACATCAGCTGAACCTGCTGAGTCATATTTTCATGAAGTCATATTTACATATCTGTATGTCATAGAGTGGAATTGTAGATCATTGAGATAATCAGTTGAGTCATATTCTCTGTTGCATGTATTTCTATGAGGACTCTCATGCGTGTCTCAGAAACAAGTGTGAATACTTAGAAATCTGATATGTGAACAACTTTATTTTGGTTGTGTGGAAATCAATGCCACTTTCATGGGATTTTATGCACATATACTTCAAGTTTTATTAAATGCTAGTAAGTGTCTTCGGAAAGTTTTTGCAAATAACCATAATCTGAAAGTGTCTTTCACCTTTCAGAACATTCATTGAAGGATTTCAACAAGGACAGGTTTATGATAACTTAACGTCATAGCGGGAATCGAAAGAATACTCAGAACTCAAATGAAGAAACAGGAGCTTTCACAAAATTCCTACACCAGCACAAAGAGGAGCAGCATTGAATTACATGAGTTTAGCTGACGAATGGGGAAGTTTTATTACTTTTAAAAATTGTATTTAAAAAATGTTTATGGATATATAGAGAATATATTTGGGCATTGTATAAAGTTCTAACAAATTAAACATAATCCTCTGCATCCAGCTCTCCTTCATTCTTTTATTTTTCCTTGAAATTTTTACAATAATGTAACTTCAACTTTTAATCAGAGTCTTACTGACACGGAAAAGGCAGAAAGACTATGGCTATATGGGAGTGTTGACAAGGGTTAATAAACTAATCAAATCAAAAGATGCCAGTTTCATTCTAACACATTGCAGATTTTTATGTTTATTCTATATTAGCTATCATGTTTTGAAAAAGCATGGAATATGTGTCATTCTGGGACATGTTGCAATAGAATATCTAAACCTTTTAGTATAATGATTCGTATATGTATTTTACATGTATGTCATCTGAAAAATAAACTACCAAGCTAAGAAACAGAACATTGAATACCATCTTATGATTTTTTAAATTGTAATTTATTTTATTTATTATTTTAATTGTATTGCATTGTATGACACAGTGTTATAGGCACTGGGATTCCCCCCAGCCCTCCCTGAACCCTCTCCCCATGGTGGATTTCTCCACCTTGTTGCATTGCCACAGTTCAAATTCAGTTGAGGTTCTTTCACTGGAAGTATTTACCAAGCATAAAGTCCAGCATCTTATTATCCTAGTGAGTTCAATGATTTCTTGGTGAGACCATCTCTGGTCTCAGGTAAGGTATACCAGGCAAAGTATCATCCCAATCAATTAAAAGCCTCAACATAACATCAACAACAATTTACAACATTATGGCATTAATTGACATGGTATTGATTAACCAACATTTTAATACAAAAATGCAGGTTTTCAACTGCTTCCTGTGACTTCTTCATAGACATATCATTTTTGGTTTATATTAACCGGGTTCTATACACCTACTATTCAGCTGTCTCGTGTCTATTTTCATTTTAGTATTTAGCTGTTTATAGTGTTGAAGCATGATTTTGCTGTACTTGGTTGTTTTTTGGATTGTCTGAACTGGCTTATAACTCTAGCAAGACATGCGTCATCAGTTTAGGTACAGAACTTTTTTTTTTTTTTTTTTTTTTTTAGGATGGGTGTGCAAAGAAATCCCCAATACTCCAGTGAGGGGTAACTAATGTTTGTGTCCCACCTAGTGAGGTATGAGTGAATCCCCGCTGACCATTTCCTGTCTGATTCTAAGCTTTCCTTGTGGTTGTCTGTCCATTCTAGATTTTTGTTTGTTTGTTTGTTTATTCATTTGTTTTGAAGGGTTTCTGGAATGATGTTATTTGAAAAGAAATTGTATCAGGAGATACATGAAAATCTTAATTCAGCACACTTTACTTCATGCAGTTCAAGGAGCATGGGTAATGACTACATTAACTAAGATTCCCATCAATAGTGAATGTGGTACATATATACAACACAAAAACAAAGCCATCAAAGGAATGAAATCTTGTCTTTTTGCAATAAACTCAGTGCAGGTTGAGACCATTATAAATATTGAAATACACCAATCCCCCAAAAGACAAATTTATGTGATAGTTAAAGAATATGAAATTTATAGGCATGAAGTATAAAAAGTAGTATATGCACTGTAAAAAGTACAAATGGAATTAAAGGTCTAGCACATAAACTATCAACTGAATAACACCCATCTCTTCATTACATTTTTGAGCCCCTTGTATTTCTGGAATAATGTTGACAATGAAAGTGGGAAAAAGGAGAAATCAAAAATAAAGTGTGTTGATATTTAAGAGATAACACACAATGAAATACATTTACAGTGTACACAAAAGAATTAATATTACTAAAAGCAAGACAGTGAACAGAATGAGCAAGTAAAGTACTATTACTTCCTCTGATAAATGCATTATAGTGTCTGACACTGAGGCTTGAGACATGAACTCACTGACTCTGGTCAACCCTAACATTGTGGGTTCTACTACAGTTTATGGACCAAGAGTCTTTTCAGAGCCTTCTTCATGTCTGCATTCCTCAGGCTGTAGCTAAATGGGTTCAGCATGGGGGTGACCACTGTGTACATGACTGAGGCCACGGCAGTGGAGTGTGAGTTATAGGTAATAGAGGAACTGAGATACACACCTAGACCTGTGCCATAAAATAGGAAGACAACAGAGAGGTGAGAGGCACAGGTGGAAAAGGTTTTATACTTTCCACTAGCTGAGGAGATGGAACAGATGGAGGAAATGATTTTAGAGTAGGAGTACAGGATCCCAGCCAGGGGACCTCCTCCAAGCAGTATAATTGTGAAATACATTATGAAGTCATTGAAAAAGGTGTCAGAACAAGCAAGTTGGATCACATGGTTCAACTCACAGAAAAAGTGGGGAATTTCCATGTGTGTGCAGAAGTTCAGCCTCAGAACCAGTAAGCTTTGTAAGAATGAATGCAGGACACTAATGACCCAGCACACCAGAACCAGCAGGACACAGACCTCAGGGGTCATAATTACAGTGTAGTGCAGGGGGTGGCAGATGGCCACAAGCCGGTCATAGGCCATCACGGCCAGGAGAAAGTTGTCCAAAACTGTGAAGAGTATAAAAATGTACATCTGTGTGATGCAGCCTGCATAGCTGATGGCTCTGCTCTGCGTCTGGATATTCACCAGCATCTTGGGAATGGTGGTGGAGATGAAGCAGATGTCAGAGAAGGAAAGGTTGGAGAGGAAAAAGTACATGGGTGTGTGGAGGTGAGATTCTGAGAGGATGGCCAGAATGATGAGCAGGTTCCCACTTACAGTAACCAGGTACATGGAGAGGAAAAGTCCGAAGATGAGAGGCTGCAGTGTTGGGTCCTCTGAGAATCCAAGGAGAAGGAATTCTGACAGCTGAGTTTGATTTCTCAGTTTCATGTGGTGCACGTGAACCCAGAAACAGGTAGTTGAACCTGAGTCATATTCATACACAAAAAATGTAACCAACAGGGAAGAAAACCAAAATTCATGTTTTCATCTTCAAAATGTGGCTGCTGCATTTGGAGATGCCTTTGTTCCCATTTTGGACCCTGGCAGTGGAATCACTGACTCAGATTTTTCCCACAATCAGGCCTTTTGTAAATGATCAAATATTTCTTATATTTTAATGAGATATTATTTGACCACTTAAGAAATATATATGTATTAGTGGTTCCAAATGCACCATTGATTTTTCAATTAAATGCATGAAAAAATCAGAAGAAGCAGTGCATAATATATGGTTGGTTCTGTGTATCTTAATAGATATGGGATTCAATTCCGATTGTGAAAGATAAAGTGATCTTCAGTCTAATAATGCAACTGAAGGCAAAATTGCTATGATTTTTATTAAACGATTCAATGATGTAGGCAAGGAGGAATTACAAAGGATTTTAAATGATAAGAACAACTGAACATTGAGCAGGTTGGAAATATACCTAAAACTAAATTATTAAGACTCTGTTTGAAAAACCAAATTTTGTTTGATTTAGTAACAGTGAGGTTGGAACTGAGAATGAGTTACTGTTTCTGACAATAGAAAAATACAGGCTTTCACAACTTCTCTTAAATTTTATGTATTGGATCCATCACAATGTCTTGGAAAATGCAACTAACAGATACATTAATTTTTGTGCATACATTTTTGGGAAACAGAGTTCTCAAAATATTGATGACCTTTCCTAAGTTTGGATTAAGATGTTTTTTGCACCAGACATTTTGTATCCTAACAACCTACCTTGTAAATTCACTTTTTTATTATGCTGAAGCATATTCAAGTACTTATTAAAGAACTACATGGCAGAAATAAAGTGTTAACAATGCTCAATCTTTGTAGATAAGAAAACAACAAAGACAGAAATAAAACTCACCTGAGAGCACACCATGAAAGTGCTGAAATTGAAGGAGAAAATGAGAGTGGCTGGAAAGCGTTGAGTGTATCCAACTCAGAGCTGATGCAATAATTGTCAAGCAGGTATCTTTGATAAAGCTCTTCTTACTGCATTTTTAAGACAACATCGAGTCATGTGAGAGTGCAGTGAGAGTAGACAGAAGACACTGAGACCTCTGTGTTCCAGCAGCTGCTACTGTCAGGATTTCCATGCAGACATTTCCCTTCTCCTGGTCCTTTCCTGTCAATACTGGAACAGTTACAGCAACTCTTCACTGCCTGAATAGGCAGGGTAGTGATTCAGTCCACAAATGCTGTTCCAGGACCAGGGATTGTGATTACACTTTCTGTAATCCATTTTATGTGTTGGACAACCAAAATCCCTTCACATGGCAAAGGTAGTATTACTTCACTCTATCACATGTCCCTCCATACAGGAAATTGCTTCTCTACTCCCCCAGATCTCCAATTGCTCCAAAGTTGACCCCTTCTACTCTAGGGCATTTAAGACACTCACTCTCCATTAGAATTGACCTTTTCTTGCCATCATTGATTCAAAAAAAATGGACATTGCCCTAGGAGATCCAAAATTTCCCTCCCCTTTGATAATTACTGGCAAATGTTTTCATTAGCTAAATATAGCAGTCACTACCCCAGACCTATCCCAGCTGTTGGCTAGGTTTGTTCAGTTCTAAGTTAACCCCAGGGAAAACTGTCTGTGTCCACAGCCTGAGACCCCTCCTGCAGTGCCTACCAGACTCACTTGCATGGCAACTGTAGCAGGACTGCATCTGTAGGGATGCCCAAACTCTTCCCTGGATGGTGGATGCTGCAGACTGAAGCTCAGTCTCATGCACAGCAGCAGGAAAGAGGGAAGCTTTGGTCCCTGAGCTAGACGTGGGGAGCAAATGCAACAAGCAGGCTGCTTCTAGCCCATGGTTGCACAGTCTGAGGGAGCACAGCAAAGGAGGTACTTACAACCCCTGTCACTGCTCATTAAGCAGCTCCCTGACCTCTAAGCATCTGCCGGCCCGTGGCACTCAGGCCAGGACAGAAAGCAGGTGTTTCCCAAGAGACAATGATGCACCCAGGTGAATCCTCTTTCTTTCTTTATCCCACTCTGCTGCAAACACAAATAGTTGTCATTTAGCTCCTCACCTTAAAAAGTTTTGCTTAGTGAGACAAGCCAGTTCCCCTAAGACAATTATCATGTGTTTCTTCTAGTATGTTGCATTTAATGGTGAATACAAAAATAATGTAGAAATGGAAAGAGCATCTTGAGATTCGATTGTTGTTTCTACTCCTGGGAAGCTCTTTTTTTTTTTTTTCTCATTTTTTACTTGTTGAATATATCTTTAGTGGTGCACTAAGCTGGTGACTATAGAGGAAAGTGAGAACACATTTTTGTTTAAATATTAAGGAAAAAAAGGAAGGATAGAATAAAAATAATTGAACTGTGGAAATAAGGGAGGGATGGCAGGATGGTATCCTTGCAATTGTGTCTATGAAAGTAATAAAATTTTAGAAGGAACTAAAAGTCAAAACTATTTGATATGTTTATATTTATATTCATCAGGGGAAGAAATGATTTCATTAACTAAACATAAAAATTCACACATTCCATGAATCGATAATCGCTATCGTCTTTATATTGGTGCAACTGAGATTGGACGCAAGAAAAAGAAACAAATTATGTGAATTATGGTTGAATTCCTCAAGTAGGAGGACATATTTATGTAGCTGGAACAAATACTATAATGCCCAATAAGTATTCTTTTCATCAAGACATGGTTATACTGTTATAACTGAAGACATACAGACTACATTTCACATACACACACACACACATACACACACACAAGGACACTTCAGAATGTTCTTGTAAAAGTGAAATTCAATGGCATGTTTCTGGGGCCATGTATTGTGATGTTGACCTCCCACATGGCAGCACCTATTAAATTCACAGTCACTTTGCCTCTGTGCTGTTCCTGGCCCCTGCACATGGGAGGCAGGTGGAATTTGATCCAAGAACTTGAGTCCTCTGCACCCCATGTGGGAGACACAGGTGGAATTCATGGGCCTTGGTTCAGCCATCATTCACTGAGACCTTTTAGGGAGGGAACCAGCATAAGGGGAACAACCTGTCTGTGTGCAGCTCCCTTGCCTCTGTTCACCCTGCCCCCAAATCCTCAATTAAATCATTTCAGTTAGCTCACTCCTGCAGCATCCAGGGACTGGTACCAACATTGACACTGGCAGGAGTATACCATGACAGATATCACACGTCTAATACAGCCTGCAAGGAAAGAACACATGTCAGGAGATGAATTCTGAAAAACAGTCACCACAGCCACACACAGAGCATGGAGTGAAACTCAGAAACATGACCAAAGATACACAGCTGACTTCAGAACCAGTGGAATCTGTGCTTCAGCAAGATTCTCTATTGTACCATCACACTCTCCATCAGGATAACACCTCAAACCTTTTTATTGTGGAATGGCTCTTTTGGTACCAAAGGATAACATATAGAATAACTGAAGAAAGCAGAACAGAACAGGGTCGTGATAGTCTAGTGATTTTTATTGTGGCATTGTTTCCCATGATAGAAGATAATATTTATAAATGATGTATTGGTCATGTTGACTTCTACTCTACTGTTACAAAGTTGTGACACTGAGTTTGTCTTCTGGGGAATCAGAATCACTGGTAAACAAACACACCTGAACAGAAACATTCAAGATCCTGACAAACACGACTAGATGACAGCTCAGTTCTACAAGTGTTGATGTTCTTGAAGAAGATCCCTGAGCCTGAATGTGCAGTGGAATGGATGGTGTCCATGAGGTTTTCTCAGCTTCTCCATTCCTCTGGAGTGGCTTTGACAAACTCAGAAAGGGAGGGCTGTCTCCTCCAGGGCAGGCAAGGAGGAAAGGTCAGAGATCTCTCGAACTTTCCAAGCAGGTGCTTGAATATTCATCAAGAAAGAAGACTCAAGGAACAGGCAAATCTGCCAATTATTCACTCTAGCCAGAAATCCCACACCTGGACCACAAGACCCTTTCAGCACAAAACACCTGGACACAGGAGAAACGAACACTGTCACACAAGCTATCTTTGATAAAAAATTACTCTTTACAAATTGAAGGGGTTTTCTTATTCTTATCCAAGTAAAGATGATCTGTTCACTTGGGATCCTCCTGGGAGCTGAGACAGGGATGAGATTTTTAAGAGTAAAAGAGTCCCATTTTTTCTTTATGACCTATGCCTGAGAATGCAGTTAGCACATTTTGTTTCAAGAGTAAGATCATAGACAATAAATAATCCAACTGACCACTCACACACTCTACTGTGGTACTAAAGCCTATGCTGTTTAGGAGTAAGATGCACATAGGAATGATGGACAAAGATCAGAGTTTCATTCTGCCCTAAAATTACATAAATTGCATTCCATGTCATACTAGGTGTCCTCAGGTAGAGTCTGGTGTGCAAAGAAAATTTTTATTGCAATGATTCTTAAATGTCTGTTATCTGAGAGATATATTACGAAGCTAAGAAGAACACTGAATAGTATCATAAGATATTATTTACAAGAAATTGTATCCTGAGAAATGTGGAAATTTCAATTCTGCACACTTCCTCTTGAAGTTCAAGGAATACTTAAGATGTCTATGCTAATTAAGATTCCTATTAATAGTCCATGTGCTACACATATTACAATGAAATAACACACAGTCATCAAAAGGAAGAAATCATCTATTTTTGCAATAAGTCTGATGCAACTGGTGATCATTATGTATAGTAAATTAGGCTATTCCATAAAGCAAACTGTGTGCTGCTTAGAATACAAATGCACCTGGAAAGAAAGCATTCTGGGTAAATCATCACCTTGTATCTGCCAGGATCTCATATGGGTGCCAGTTCATTTCCATGCCATTCAACTTCCCTTCCAGTTCCTAGCTTGTGGCCTTATAAAACAGTAGAGCATGCCCAAAACCTTGGGTTCCTCACT